TTGAATGATGAACAATTCAAGAAGAATAGCTAGGAAAAATGAAAGGATTGCGTTAAATGCAAACATAAATGAATAATAAATGTTTTATAAAAATTATAATGGAAATTAGAAAAAATAAAATAAAATAAGGATATATGAGAAAAAAGATGAATAGGTTTCTAACATTTAGGAGAAGCGATGTCATCAATATTGGTTTTTCATTTACACATATTAGTTATCTAAAGTATACTTTTTCTTCGCAAGTAATGTCAGAGGTATCTTCAATCATTATGGAAATTCCATTGTCTCTACAATTAATATATTCCCTAGAAAAGAAAGGGGTAGTCAAATTGAAAAAAGAAAACCAGTAAAAAAAACATGTTGAAGTTTGTTGAGGCCACATCATAGTTTATAGTACTTTCAAGATTTCATCATCGGACCATTATTGTCATAATATGTTTTTCATTTACACATATTAGTTTTCTCAAAATATACTTGAAAAAAGATAATCATTAAAAAACATGTTGAAGTTTGTTGAGRCTACATCATAGTTTGTAGTACTTTCAAGATTTCATCAGCGAACCATTATTGTCATAACATTCCATCATCGACCATGTTGTCATCAAAACTCTAAAAGCGTTGTCAAGAACAAACTATCGGTTTCMTTGAGGAAACTTAAGAAAATTATAGAAGAGAAAAGTAAAAAAACAAAATCCCAAAATCCCAACAAAAATAAGAAGAAATGCATATCTGAATTAGTCTTGTCGAATAAACTTAAAAATAGATTTGTTGAAAAAGAATAAAATTTATGAAATAGAAAGCAATTAGGTGATAGAGATGGAGAAAAAAAGATTGAATGATGAACAATTCATGAAGAAGAACTAAGAAAAATGAAAGGATTGTGTTAAATGAAAAATCTTTATAGAAATTAGAATGAAAATTAGAAAAAAAAGATTAAAATAAGGATAAATGAGAAAAAAGATAATTTCTAACCTTTAGGAGAAATCATGTCATCAATCTTGGTTTTTCCTTTGTGATAATATTTTTAAGAACATAATCAATTGTTTCTTGATAGCAATTCATGTCAAACTATATCAAGAGGAAGAGATTGAGAAATAAAGAGATGAAGAGATAAAAAGTTGGAGAAGGTAAATGTCTATTAAATAAATAAAATAAATGTCTATTAAAAAGAAGTTGAATAGCCTAGGGGGTTAAACTTATCTTGAATGCTTATTAAAAAGTTGAATAATTTGGGAGGTTAAACTTCGTTGGATGCAAAATTACCAAATGATCTCATCTATTATGAAATATACAATTTGCTTGTAGGGGCATAATAGTCTTTAACTTAATTAGTATTTTAAAAAACAAAAAAAAAGGAGAAAAAAGATAAATAAGCTCCTAACTTTTAGAAGATGCCACATCATACATAGTGGTTTCTTCTTTAATATATATATATAGATTTCGAAGACGGATTTTTATCCTTTCTGATAAAAATTTAGGAAGTCCTGCGAGAAATTTTTCTTTCCAAAATTCTTTATTACTGTCTGGTAAAACAAAAAATTGAGAAAGAAAAGTATCTTTATATCATTTAAAATGGGATAAAGTAGGACATCTTAAATTTATTAACTGCTCTTGAGCAGTTTCTGTTTGTATATTACTTTTGCCAGAAAAATTGGCATAAATAATATACAACAGAGTATGAACGGAATCATGAATTGGTTCCGATGTATTAGGGGATGGTTTAACTGCTTGCAAAATTGTCTGTTTTGCATCTTGAGTTAAATAATTATCCCACCAGGATTTCAATTGACCAGTAAAACCTTTTATCAGTAATCCACTGATAGTTTGGTCTTTATTATCCTTGTTAGCATAAGCAGAGGCACACGTAATCATAAGATGAATTGTACGAGAAATTTGATTCTCACTTAATGCATCAATATTCTATTCATAAATGGAATTTCCATCAAATTGATTATTTAAGGGTAGGTCTTCCTCAAATAATAAATTCATTGGAGATGGCCTAGGATAATAGGGTTTCCTAGTTTTAAAATTTGCTCCTCTCTGATAAGAGATACGTTGAATCTGTGATGGAAATGTTATATTTCCAATATTAGATTCATTTTTATCTTCTAGGGTCATAGCCTCTAGCTGAGTTATTAACTCTTCTTCATTGGGATTCAGAGGGAATAAATAAAGGTGCAACTCCTTTATTTTTTTGATCATTATTACTTTTAATATCTAAGGCTTTTAGCCTTTTAAGTATTTCTTCCTTTAATTATGTCTTTTTAGACAAATTTATCTTTCCAACTTGAAAATCAACTTGGAATGGAACATGTGTTGATGAACACTCAGGAAAATTATTTAATTTTTTATTTTCAATTCTATTGAATTGTTCTCTAATAGATTGAAGAGATAGAATGGTGTAATTATTCTGTTCAATAACAGATTCTATTGAAGAGGATTTTTTGTAGGGTGAAGCTGGGATTTCTTCATTATCCCTATTTATAATTAAATTCATATCAGGAGGATGAATACTCCTAATAGTTTTCTTTCCTCTCGTTAAGTAAGTTTTATACTTACTTTCTAGACYAAGAATATAATCCTGATCCGAAAAATTAGGAAAAATATATCCTTTTAATTTAAAAACTCTTTCAATGTATTCGAAAAAGTTAATTTCAAGGTCATCACCYATACTTTTAATCATGTTTTGCAATGAATTACTTATGTTTTGTAATATATAATAAATTATGTTTTCTATCCCTGGGGTCTGTTAAAAGCTTCTGTTTTTGGCGTAATTAATAGCATATAATATTTCTAGAAAATGATGTATGCGATAACGCCAACATCAAATTATTGAGGTTACTGTTCATATGACACATGCAATGACGTCAGCACCTCAATTATTRTATTTACKGTTCTTCTGCTTTTTCGGTCTTTATATAGCCGATTGTTTTTTTTATTTTTGGTGTGCAATTTTTAGAGTTCTCTCTATATATATAAATATCAATTTTGTAATCCTTTGTATTATAGTTTGATATTAATAAAAGATAGCCTTTGTGTACTTATATAGAGTGATCCTGTATAGTTGATCCTGTAAAGTTATATAGAGTGATCCTGTATAGGCAGTGCTAAACAAAGAATTTCCTTAATTTGTTGTTTAATCCTTTTGACTGCATTAGTATGCTCATTAGTCCATGYTGGAGGATTATTTCTTAACCTTTTTAGTTCTTATAYTGAATTTATCATTGTTTATATTGACGATGTTTTGGTTTATAGTCATAAATGATAACCGGATCGCAAGCAGAAATGTAATATCCTTTTATTAATAAGGCAAATATATTACAAGAGATTGATTACAAGAGGAGAGGGATAAGATTCTAATCTAAGACATGAACAACAAAACAAAAAGCAGCTATATAAAGCCGAAAAAAGAAAAGCAACAAAAAAGATGGAGGTACTATTAGCACCACTAACTTTTTACAAATAATTGAAGTTCACAGTAACTTCAATAATACGGACTTTTATTTTGTCAGGAAGACAAATAGGATATAATCCTCATTGAGTAAACCAGGTTATAAACCAATTTGGAAATTGTTCCTTCTGGCTAAACTATGAAAATTGTATCCACCAGGAAAATTTCCTTTGCCTGTTTTCATAATAAAAATCATGTTCCCAGGCATTGATATAATCAAAATAATTGAATCGAAGAATAGTACTTCGATACCTCAATGTTTTGGTGAATTCATATTGTTTGAATAAATCACCTTCCCATTGATCAGGTCTAATTACCCTTTTAATTATAGCTTTGCTATAAGCAATTTCTCCACTGAATTTGTGGCAAGAAGAATATCTTGAAAATACTGAAAATCTTTTGGATAAACAAAAGAATCAGCATTATTCTTGAAATAGAATGCAGAAACCTCATGAGGTTTTAAATGAGTATATTTGTTTTCAATGGGTATTACCCATTTTGTTGAAATTGGAATATATGGGAAAATATATTCTCCCGGATGCATAGCATCAATTGCTAGCTGATAAGCATCTGCCCGAAGTTTTTCTTCAGGTGCTTTTATCAATTCAAGAAACACCACTTGAAGAACTAGAAGGTACTGATGATGTCGAAAATCTATGAGATGAATTATCTTTTAATCTAATAATTCTCTCTTTTGAAAATCGTAATTCAACATCACCATTTGGATGTTCAATTATTTCTTCCAATTTTTCATTTTCTTGTTTAACTGGTTCATTAGCCTGTTCCAAAATCCATTGCTCAGGAAACTTAACTTCTTCCCAAGAAATAGTTTTTGAAATTATTTTATTGCTTTTAGCCATATTTGTAATAAATAAAGTTGTTTTTCTTTTATCATTCAAGTTTTGAATTTGTCTGATATGAGAAACAAATGTGCTCATTACTTTATAATGAAATCTATAAATAAGAATGACATTTTTCAACCCTGGTAACATGTCATAACCTTCAGATTTAATATCCAAGGATAAAGCACGCATAAGATGCGGATCATTTAATGATAAGGTGAAATTTGGAAAGCACGAAAAATATATCGGCCCATCACAAAGACTTGATTCTATAACTCCAATGAGTGAATCATGAAATTTGAGATTTCTTTTGTCATGAAGACATACTAAAACAGAGGTGTTTAAACCTAGTCTGGTTGCAGGTTTCAAAGCAACTTGAATCATACCCAAATGCAAAAAATTATATTTCTGCTGATGTTGTTTAATTCGCTTCGTTGATAATAATTGAAAAGTACTATACCCTTGGGATATAGGCATAGATTCTTCAACCGTTTCAATGATATAATCAGATTTGAATGAGAAATTAGATTTATAAATTTCATTCGGTTTTGATTTTGGTAATTTCCAATTACATAGATCATAATCTATGGTTTCGTTTAAAATTAATTCTTTGTTTCTATTAGAAACAGATGAAGATGATGATTGAGAAGAATTTCTTCTCAAACACCTAATTATCTTACTCATTAACTCAGACTTTCTCTACAGTCAACGACTTTTATCAGAAATGTATTCGGAACCTCTACCTGGGTATCAAAAAGTAAACAAACAAATGAAATTAATTAAGTCAGTTATGAACACGACTTGGTATCAAAGAGTAAACAAACAAGTGAAATTAAATTGGTACCTTGATTAAGGTTCTTCAATCACTACGAGTGTAAGAGCTTCTTGATCTGATCTATAAGAAGTATGGCAGCTGGTTGATTAATCATGAATGGTGGTGTTGAAGGATGAAGCTACTTGAGTTGCTATATATAGAAGGATGAAATATCTTGGCTGCCTCTAAACTCATCCATGGTTATCTTTTTAACTATGGTTAGTGTTTACAGTTTTGCTATTTCCAGGCCACAAAAACCATTATCAAGTCTTCCCTCCAAATATTGATTTTTAATTAAATCACTAAGTTTTAAAATTATTAAAGAAAATATTAAAACTATTAAAAAAAACTCAATTAGATTGTTACTTTTTGTAGTTAATTTAAGAATGATGAGCAATAATCATAAGGGTGTTGTTTGATTGATTTGAGCTTGACTTCAAATATCAAAAGTATCAGGAGGTTTCAGATTCAAATCCAAAGAAGAATAAAAATCCCCTTGTGGCCACGGACGTTCAAATGCGGGGTGACTTCGAGCTATCTGCAAAGCAGGTGGTCATCCTGAGATTAGTCGACTCGTATAGCGGGTTAGATATCCACGTTAATAATAAAAATGATGATCAATTAGAGCATGTTTACCAAATGGTTATTGGGTAATATATATTTATCGGTAAAATTTCTTATTTTCAGCTGTCAAAATAGATTAACGTTTTTTTATTAGACAAGTGTTTATTGGTAATAATTTCTTTTTCTCACTTAACTGATATCTTGGTCTCGCCATGTCATTAACCAGGTAAGATTTTTGACTCTTGTCATAGGCATTCGACAAGGTAAGTACCAAGTGACATCCGATAACGTAAGTGTTTGATAAATAACCCAATACCTTATTTGAGATTTTAAAGGAAAATTGATCAAAATAACCAATCTCTCAAACCATATTTATGGGATTCATTTTTTAAACCGAATTCCAATTTAACCACTGTTTCATGCAAGGCCATTCAAGTTTTTCCATACTATTTTTCAGGACCAATAAAATTAATCGAGGTATGTATAAACTGAGCTGAAATAAGGGTGTGTTTGAGATTGTTTATAAAATCAATTTATTGACTTATTTCAGTATGACACCGATAATAAATATTTTTAAGTGTGTGAATAAACAACGTATACCAAAAACAAACCAATAATAAAAAAAATTTAAAAAATTAAATTATTTTAATTATGATAAATTAATAAAAAGTTATATAACCGCGTCAAAAAAAAAGTTGAAGATACAKCGAACAAAATTTCAATGAATGAATGTGGGTCCCACAAGACCTCTATTTTCGCATAAAAGACAAAAATGAATTATGAGGGGGTGTGGAAAATAAAAAGTGAGAGTGGAAATGGATAAAATCAACGTGGATAAGGATTAAGGATGAAGAGGTGGGGCCCAGTAAGATAGTGTCTTCACTCTCAGTAACCAGTAGGTGACGGCCGTTGTACACGTGTTACTATAATTACATAAATAGTCCCTGTAAAATATGTCAACCTTCATGTTTATTACTTTAATTTGAAACTCTTACAAATGTCATCCAATTTTCGATTATATCAAAGTGGCATAAAATATAAGATGTTAACCTTTTAATGGTTAAAAATAGGGCGAACCATAATTGATCGTCCATCGAAAGCCAACCTGAGCTGACGTGATGTTTCATTGGTTTATAAAAGGTACAAATCGATAAGAGTGAGATTAGGGCCAGATTCATGTCGTATCTAACCAATCAGTGAAACCCGATAAGGCTACCAGCCAATCAAAAATTCTATTAATCCCTAATTTGAAATATGTTTCTACGTATTCCAAACCCGCAACCTCGAGTGCACAAGTTTGATGTGATGTAAACCTTATGGAGCAAACGGTTTCTAGGCTTCACCTATATTCACAGTGAATTTCACTTTCAGGACAATGGTTTCTCAATAACTGGTACAACGTCATTTAAAAGATACATTTTCTTTTCTGCCTTAATCTCATGGGAATATCGTTTTCCATGCATAAGACGTATATCTTATTATTGATTCTTGATAATTTCTTGTACGAGTCTTAAAGATTCTTTTTTTTTTTCTTATCCCGATATTAGTTTTTAATGCATATGACAATATATATGTAAACAAAAGCACTAACAAAAAAATGTATATGACCAAGCTAACAAGTAATAGTGACGATGTTAAATTGGATATTTTCTTGGAATCGGGTTCCATGTGTGTCTGATTAAGGTTGTTAGTAATCAAATTTTTGTCCAGATTGGATAGTTTCTATAACAAGAACATTATGATTTAAACTAAGATGAGAAAAGTGTAAACTGAGGCATAGTTGAGGGACCATTTTGTAATATACTATAAATCAAAAGTTGTCTTGTTTTTGTTGTTGGTGTGTCGCCATCATTGGCACGTGACAACCTCATCGTTAACAGCCGTTAGTTTGATGAAAAACAAGGTGCCAAAGTAATTTTCTTATTAAAATAATGTGTGTAATTATTTAAATATGGAGTAAATTACTTTTTGGCCCCTACAGTTTGGTGGAAACTTGATATTTTTGTTTCGATTTCCATCTCTATATTTTCATTTTTATAATTTATAATTTATTGTTATTTTCATCTCCCATATTTAAAGACAGAGCCTCAAAGACGGAAATAACAATAAACTACAAATCATAGCAATGAAAATTGCAATTTCAAACCCATAAGGATGAAAGTCTCGGTTTGATCAGCCTCTAGCGTGTAGCTCGGTTGACAAAGGGATAGAGTGACATTTACCCAATACATGACAGATCATTGATTTGTCCCATCACATTGATGCCTTTGGAGACTAGTTTAGTGTGAGACTGACTGAGATTGCACGTAATCAATTTTTGGTCTAAATAGAGACGAAAGTCACAATTTTTTTTTAACAGACCGCGGAGATAAAAAAACATAATTTACTGTATATTATAAAACATAAGTAAATACCAAAATCCAAAAAATTTGTGATATAAAACCTATGTGTTCTAAAACAAAACCCTAGATCAAAATGTGATTAATACCTAAAATCAAAACCCTAAATCAATAATCGTTTCTCGAAAAAGAAACAGAATGCTCGTGTCATGGCTTGAGTTGATTTCATCTGCATAATTGATACCACGTCACAATCCCCTATGAGTCATCGGCTCATTCTGCAATAGACATGCAGTCAGAGCCTCAGGCTCCTTCCACTACTTTGGAGCTTACGGTTTCATGTTCTATTTCACTCCTCAATTGAGGTTCTTTTTACCCTTCCATCGCGGTCATACTTCGCTATCGGACACCCAGGAGTATTTAGCCTTGCAAGATGGTCCTTGTTGAATCACACGAGATTCCACGTGTCTTGTTCTACCCGGGTCAAAGCATAAGCTAGTGATGTTTTCGGCTATTGGGCTTTTGCCATCTAGGTTCTTGTAAAAAAAATTAATTAATAAAATAACAATTTTACTCAAGTAAAATTGACCCCCTATCGACTTGGTTTTTGACTCGATTTGAACGAAAAAATTTCTTAGAACAAAACAAACACATGAATCCTAATCGAACTTTTTTTTAAAAGTAAATCTTGTAGTTTAATTTTAATAACGACATCAAAACACAATTAATGAATTAGCCGAGATTGTTTTATCTTAAAATAAATAAAAAAAGAGTCGACTACAAATTCGGTTTATGTGCTTTGTCGTGCAGTTTTAAAATTACAAGATAACCATCATGGTTTGCAAAAACATCCAGATTTGTCCCTTCTTTTAGCACTCGTTAAAAAAATCCATCCAAATGAGGGCATTTTCGTCCTTCTAACATTTTTTTGTCTTTTACCTAGTCAAAACCACATGTACCAAAATCACAAAATCCATTTTTATTGCGAAAATCAAACCCAGCAAATAAAAATATCAAAATGGTCATTTCTTCAACTGGTATGATCTAGGGTTTGCTTCCCAATGGTCACTGGTTCTAGTCCCCTTGAGGTCCTCGGCTTCGGGGTCCATGTGATCAGTCGAGATACGCACAAACTGATCCGGACACCTAATTTTATTTTAAAAAATATCAATCTCATTTAGAMCCTACAACCAGTGCGGTTACCGTAACTTCTCCTACAAGATTAGAACTCATCCAAACCAAAACCGAACCATCTAAAGTAGCTCAATCAAAGGAGGACTGACATTGCGGCTAATGGCTCGATGTT